GCATGGAAATAAACACACAAACCTATGAATCTTATTGATGACTATCACCACCAATCTTGAGGAAAACTTTACCTAAATAAGGTGAGAGAGATATTTGAACCAAAAACTTTGATATCATAGACACAACCTTGAAGCTTAAGCTCTGGAAATCCATTGAGGAACCATTTGACTAAGGACCATCCTTCAAACCCTAGGTTAGATGGTGAGATGGATGCAATTGTGTCATCACCTACAATATGAACATTCATAGAAACATATATACATATCTTGATGTTAGTTAAAAGAACGCATGTTCAAGATACACAATTCAAGGTGCTTGATGATCTGTCAAGAGCAAACTTAAAGATAGGATGAAATAGAAGGGAGAACCAACCCTAATGTGTGATCTCGATGTGTTGATAATATGAGATGATGAGAGATCTTAGGGTAAAAATTAGGATATAACAACTACCCTTATTTAAGTGTCTTCTATCCGGAGATACGAAGGTTAAAATATTCGTGTCGACGCGATTGAAGATACTTAAATACAAAAAAAAAACCCATTTTTGGCCCTAAGATGTCATACAATGCTTATGATTATGAATGCAAATGACCAACTCTATAGGTGACACAAAAAACCAATGGGGAGGGAAAAATAAAGCATGCGGCCTAATGAAGAGAGTTCAATCCGACAAATAAATCGTTTGGGAACAAGACAACTCTGGGGATGACTATATACAGGTAAATCCAAAATCATGATTAAAGAAACCAAATGCATAGTAAGATTTAAACGACGAGAACTCTCAACAATTCAAGCAACAAACTATCAAGGAGGTAACCATTAAGAAAGGATTACCGGCTCGACTGGAGGAAAGAAACTCAACTCCAATAGAGGAAAATCAACACCGCTGGGGAAAAGAAGACTGAACTCTACTGAGGTAAAGCTCAAAGAGGAGACAAAGTATCATCAACTCAACAAATAAGGAAAAAGCAAAGGGTAACAATGACCGATAGATAACTAAGAACTACCCAATCATAGAGGAGATAGTAGAAAGAGAGTAACATCAACTCATAGGGGATCGTAAATTAACAACCCAAAGGATGCAAAAAGAACGGTAAGATAATACCAACTCAAAGATAACGATAAACATCAACATTAAGGCGAGTAATGAATGATTAGTACTTATGAATGGAAATAAATGATTGACATCAGTGCTTATGGAAGGGAATAAAATTTGACATCAACACTTATGGCTGAGAATAAAGGGTTGACATCAGCACTTATGGCTGGGAACAAAGGGTTGACATCAACACTTATGGCTGGGAACAAAGGGTTGACATCATCACTTATGGATGGGAACAAAGGTTGACATCAACACTTATGGTTAGTAATAAAGGGTTAACATCAGCACTTTTATGGTAGGATCCTCCTTGAGGGCGTTCAAGTATGAGGAACCTTCTACTAGCTTGATTTCCTTCCCCTTTCGCTTCTACTCCTGAAGATCATCCTCGGAGAAACAACTATCGAGGTCGATCAAATTGACGTACTGCAGCAGCATTGGCTCCTCGAAACTGTTGGGACGGGGAGGTCTGTTGGGTGCCCTGGGCGGCGCATTGATCTTGTTCATTCCTTTTGAGGCCGCTAAAAATCATCTCCTCGCAACTTCGATATCCCAATGGAGAGTGGCGACCAGTCCCCCTTAAGTGTAGCATTTCATTTTCAGGTGTTCCATTGAGGGTACAACTATGAGTTCGGCCAGAGTTGGGCTCCCAGAGATGCATTGGTATAAAGAAGGGTAGTCTACCACTAGGAACTGGGTCTTGATGGACCTGGCCATTTTGGATGCCCTGAAAGTCATGATTAATTCGACGAAACCCCATGGCTTGGTGACCGCGCCGTTGAAACCTTGGAGGTCTAAGACTATGTAAGGTGTTAGGTGTGTTTCGTTGAGCTATAGCATGGTGAATAGTTGGGAATACATGATGTCTACCGAGCTCTCTTGATGGACAAGGATACACATGACATCAAAGTTAGCCATATGTGCCTGTACAAGTAGAGGAATGCTCGAATTAGGAGGTCCACTGGGAAGTTCCTTGTGGTAGAAAGCAATTGGGATAGAGCTTCCCAGAAATTTGTCGAGGGTGGAGTTCTAGTTAGAGCTTGCTTCAATTAACCGTTCGAACCTCCTTTTCACAGAACCCGCAGTGAATTTATTAAAGCCTCCACTGAAGATGACCACGGCAACAGGGAATATGTCCTAGGGACTGTACGTCGCGAAATACAGGGGGTGCTCGACTTCATTGGGGATGTAGAAATCCTCGGGCCGCGAAATGCACATGGCGACAGGCATATTTATGTTGTTTGGGGAAGGTTTATCTTCCTCGACTTTATTTGACTCAAGTGCATCCTCAGGGGGGCCCTCATTCCTCTTGTACTACTTGAGATGCACATCCATGATGAGGATCTCAATGGCATCTTTCAAGTGGATGCACTCTTCTGTTATATGCCCGTGGCTCTTGTGGAACTGACATTATTTTTATTTGTCCATCCCGAGCTTGGGTGGTGTTTTTCGAGGAAACCAGACTCCTGCCTGGTGAAACTCTGAATTGGTGCAGTCGGTCAGGATGTGCTCGCGGGAGGTGGTTAGAGGCGTGTAGTCATGGAACCGACCAGGAGGTCCCTTGTATTCCTACGAGTCATGGGGCTTGTCCTCCATTTCCTTTTCTCCTCCCTGATGAGATGTCGAGGGTTCGTTATGATTTGAACCCTTGTCATTCTCCTGGTGACTCGAGTCCCAGGAAGAGTTAGCAACTTCATTCTCTTCGTACTGGATGCACGCTTGTTCCTTAAGGAGAATGGCATCTATGGAGGAGGGAGTTTGAATGCCGACAGCTTTGGAAAATTCGCTGCACAGGCGCAGTCTGCGCTTGAGCAGGTATTTCTTAATATCATCAATTGTGGAGACCTGAATGGCTTCGTGGTTAAACATCTCAATATATGCCCGAAGAACTCATCGCCTTTGATGATTGCCTTGAGTGATGCTTCAGACTTTGGGTGTCGATGAGAAGCTGTGAAATGCCTGGAGAACTGTTATCTGAGGTTCTGCCAGGATGTGATGGATTCATCGACAAACTTTTGTACCACGCCATGGCTCATTTCCTGAGTGTGGTGGGGAACAACATATACTTTATGGCTCCCTTGATGCCCCAATAATCAAGTAGAGAGTCTATGTTTTCGAGGTGGTCATCCTGGTCAGCAATCTCATCATATGTCCATAGGTTAGAGGGTTTCTCCAACTCGGTAGGGAGTGGTATCTCTATGATTTCTCGTGATAATGGACCGCGGGAGTTGTCGTTGCCGCTCTAGGTATTGGACCGAGGAGGAGAGTAATTCTTTGATATCTAAGAAGGCGAATGATGCTCGTCTGGCCTAGGCTCGACCCATGTCTTCTCCAGGGAGAGACGATCTCTGCGAGAGGGAGTGATTGCATTTTCTATCGAGCATGGTTTCTGGTTCTCCTTGTGTTGGCTGACTACCACAGGGTTGTGGTGAAGGATTGCGCGACACACGTTGTCGATATCTCTGAGGAGGAGATCTTGATTGTTTCTTCACCAATGCCACAATCCTGTTATTCTGGCGGTGGATCAGGGTGTTGGTTTGATTTATGGCAGCGGACAGAGCTGCCACGGCCAGATCGGTGTCGGTCAACATCGGGACCAGCTAGAGAGCGGCTAGTTCCTCTTCTTGGGCTTTCTTAGATCTTCTAGTGCCAAAAAGTGGGTGTCATCGTCGTCGACATCGACGGAGGAGGGAAAATCCATGCGACCGTCTCTTTTGAAGGAGATTTCCTCGAGGGGAAGGCATATGTCGTCATTACCAGCCTTCCGAATGGGGGATAAGATGGTTTTGCCAACAAGTTGGTCGTCATCGTGATCAGCCATGATTGGAATCTGATGATGTTGCTTTTATCTTTGGTTTCTGGGAAAGAAATATGGGGAAGATAGTTTCTCAAAGACGGCACTACTAATCTTACTGGTTGATCTGAACCTGAAAGGTTTGATATCTTTGTTTATAAAGCTAGATAGTCAAGCCCATCAAAATCTAATGATAAGATTTACATCTTTATCCACTTAATCGTTCACTTGATTTATCATAAGTTATCATCGTCAAAAGTATATGTCTTTTTTAAAAGCATATCACATGCAAAACAAGATTCCACAAGATCCATTTTCAAATGCTTGCGTTGATGTATCCAATAGCAATTATTAATTTCGTTAGTTGTTATTACAAATATATGACTAGTGTGCATTAAAGGTTTAACGCAATCATATAAGTCAAACATGTTCATAGATTGATCTTCGTAAAATTACAGAGATTGAAATTCAAATTATTTCAATGTTAAATTGGTTTGACTCTAAGACACGAGTGTGATGTGGTGATAAGTGGATTCAGATTTAAATCTCCAATTTTTTTTAATCTTTACATTTTGCAATTAGGATTATTTATTTATTTTGTATGTGTTTAAAGAATAAAATCCAGATTTCAACAATAATATTAAAATTTTAATGTGGTAGGTGATCAAGAAAACTATTTTTTAATTTATATATTTCTCAATTAAAAGCTATTTTTTATGTTAGACTTATAGGAAACTGCGATAAAAAGTTATATTTTTATACCAGTCTTTTATAAATATGGTAAAAATAAATAAAAATAATACTTTAGTAGAATTATCTAATATATAAGAGGGGTGTCGGGTCAAAAGTGTAGGGTGCGTCGTATAAATCTCTATTTATTAACCTCTTAGTTTGGGCCAACGCCCAAAAAGAGATTGAAATCTTATTTGCTTCATTAATGACAAAATTTAAGGATTTTAGGGTTTGTTTGATCCCATATATCGGTCACAAAAGTTTGTCTAACAATAGCTTCTATAAATAAGCATTCCCGCTATCTCAACATTCATTCACTCTCTTTACAATCAATTCCCGATCATCATTTGTGTTGTTTTCTGTAAGAAACAAGAATGTTGATTCCACTTGCAGTTGTTGATGATGTTGCTATCTTGGATCCTCGTACCCACAACAACATGTTACACCCTGTGTATGTTCTCTTTGATTCTCGTACCATGTCTCACAACCACCACCCAACACCACCACCACCACCACCTTGGTCTGTCAACATGTACAACAATGTCCCAAGAAGATTAATGTCTCACAACCACCACCCAACACCACCACCACCACCACCTTGGTCTGTCAACATGTACAACAATGTCCCAAGAAGATTAATGTCTCACTACCACAACAACGTTCCAACAAGATTATTGTCTAACAACGGCAACAACGTTCCAAACGGCAACAACGTTTCATCAAGATTAATGTCTCACAACGGCAACAACTTTTCATCAAGATTAATGTCTCACAACCGCATCAATGTTTCATCAAGATCCACTTCATCAACGAGCCGCAACAACGTTTCATCAAGATTCACTTCATCAACCGTGTCTATGGTAGATGAAACTCTTGTCTATGATTCTACTATCAACAGCAACATTCCAAGAACACGCTCATTTAATCTCCACCACAACAACAATGGTACTAGAGCTTCTTCTTCCCCTGTGAACAGTGGTCAAAATACTAGAAATTCTGCTGCTGTCTTGATGGGTGTTCAAGAACATGTTACAACATCAACAATAGATGCAGAATCCATCTGTTGCATTTGTCTTGTTCACTTGTCTAATGCTTCTTCCACGCCAATTCAGTTGCGCTGCTCTCATATATTTCACACTGACTGTATTCAGAAATGGGTTAATATCAGACAAACGTGTCCACTATGTCGGGCCGATGTTTAGTTTTCATACATTGATACTACTACTAGTTTGCCACTGTCTTTGTGTGCAAGTCTGTTGTTTTGTCTTATTCTTTGTGTCAATACTGCAGATGTATAAGGTTATAGGTCATTAGGTTTCTCAATATTTAGAACTATGCTTCTACTTTGAACAATGTAGACCTTTGGGTTGTATGTTATTTGAAATCCACATTTTTAAATGAAAAACTTGTCATTCTCTAAATTTTCATAGCTTATATTTGGCACTTGGTTTATTGTTTCAAACTAGGCTTTTGTTGAATGTGTGAAAGGCTGAATGAGAATTTAAAAAGGGCATTTGTTGTTAATGTTTTACCTTATTATAATTGCAGTTAGTCAAGGTTCTACATAAAACTGCTCTGTCTGTGTGCAAAACTGTTTTTTGCCTACCTTTTCCTTATTCTTTGTGTCAATATGTGTTACACCGCAGATGTTTAAAGTGATTTTGTTTGTTAATGTTTAGAACTATGCTTCTGTCTTTACAATCATCCAGTTTTACAGTTGCCAACAAATGCTGAATAACCGTAGATGTTTTTATGTTGTGCATTTTAACACTAGTCTATTAGGCCAAACCTATAAAAGATTCAATTTAATATTAAAATAACGGTTTTTTTGTTTTCAATTTGTCTCTATGAATTATTATGTACTTGTTTGGTCGGTTGGATGAAAAGTAACCGTTTTTTTGTTAGAATGGAGAAAGTGTGGGATCTTAATATAGATTCTGGCTTATGGGTCATGTAAACATGCTTTTATGGTTCTTACTAGCTATTTCTTTTCTTGGTTATTGAAAATGTATAAATTACCGTAACAAATTTCTCACTAATTGATTCTATGGTAAATATCAAAACCCGATGATAAGAAAAGGTTAAAGATTACGTTGTCTGTATCGATACTCGAAGCATATGAGGTTTGTTAGGATGTATGGCATTCGGATGCAACTTTACCCGTTGTCAGCACACCTTTCCCTAACAGTAGTTCTTGTAGAACAAGCCTAGTATTAAGTTATTTTATTCTCTTAAGCTTGTAATTAATATTTCTATTTTGGTTGGATGCAGTAATTACTAAATTTGGAGGCAACAACATCCTAGTAATATCTTGATTAAAAGAGTACTTTGTTATTGATGTTACCTTACATACTTTACTTCAATCTATCTTGATTCATAGAATGCTTAGGTCTAACTAAAGAAATTTTATGTGATATCTACAGAAATGGCATACTTGGATTTAAGATGTACTGCTATCAATGATCAATGAGTTGCCACCATCAGTTAAGTACCTAGGTAATCTTTTGAATTTGGAGCTGAGTAGCTGTGGGCACCTATGTAGTCATATGAACTTGGAGCTGAGTAGCTTTGGGCACCTATGTAGTCATATGAACTTGGAGCTGAGTAGCTTTGGGCACCTTAGATATCTTCCAAATGAGTTTTCAAGCTTCAAACCTCTGTTTTGTTTCTGCATAGAGGTGCGGTTCAAACGAATGTCTACTTCAAAGATACAAGTTGTAGTATCTCTAAAGTCGCTAAGAATGGTATTTTCTTGCCACCAAGAGGAAGATTAACCAATGGAGCCAAATATTCATTGAGATGAACATAGATCATATTATGTGAAGGATCTGTGAGAATATGAATCTTGCGGTTGATTTCTCATCATCGTTGAAGATGAAGAATGATTAGAGCTCAAGGCTCATGTTACAAGAGTGAAGCTAGACTGTCACTGACTTCTATGATCGGTTAACTAATTGCATCAAACAACTAATTAGACTCACTAACTTGTAAGAATTGGTTAGAGTGCATAGCTTGTGTTGTAAACTGAATCATGTGATAAAGCCAACAATATTTATTGCATTTCATCTTAACAAACATGGTCTTCTAAATCTGACTAATGGCTTGACTGTAGTTTGGATTCACCAAAATTGCAATAAAAAGTTTATATCAGTGGTTAGGAGGACATGTCATGTATGTCACATGAGTATTTAGTTAGATTCTATGTTCTGATTGAGTAGTTTATACAACAAGCTTTGTGTAGCAGCTTTTAATTGTATTTGTCACAGCGTTTTTATACACATATTATGGCTCTTTCTTCTTATTCTGGTTTTCGGTACATGTATCTCTTTTCTTCATTGGATGTGAAATGTTATATAGGTCTAATACTTAATATTTTAGGAATGGTTCTTATCAAAAGATAAATTGGAATGTGCATGACACTAATTCTATTATTTTTGTGAAGGCTTTGTATAGACTTGGCAGCAATTCATAGCAGATTGCTGAATGCGAATATTTTGATGGCTCTAAAGAAGTTGTAGTATATATGAACTTCATTTTGGTGTCTTGGGCTAGGTTGTTTTTTATTTCCCTTTTTTAGTTGCACTAAAATTTACTAAAGAAACACACGGATATAGTTTTTTTTTTTATCGTAAGTGATGTTACTATTTTTCATTCACATTCACACATTATAGTAGGTGGCAAACAAAATATTTCTCTTGTAAAATAGCAAATTAAAAACGGGGCGGGACACATATAGAAGAGAGGGCAGGTCGTTGGATACGGGCCTTACAATCCTAAAATCTATTTTTTTTTTCAAAAAATTTGGCAAAAAAACAGAGTGGAAATGGATATAGTAGAAGCCTTCAAACATAAAATCTTAGCTCACAACAACAATAATCAAGTCTTACTATTAAGTGAAGTCGACTATATTGATCAAATATCACCATTATTATTATAAATAATATATTTCATGACAAAGTTTTCACCTCGACCCACCAATAATCGAGATATATGTTATGTCAACGCCATAATTTTTTTAAATATATATATAACCGAGGAAATATAACTAAGAGGGAGCTCGTTTCGAATATCAATTACCGCATTTTATGTTTTATTTTTATTTTTAATTGGTTTAGGGTCATATGACGCCTTTTCCTTTTCTTTCTTTATTATTTTTTTATTTTTTATTTGTATTACCTTCAATTATATTGACCAACCAAGCCATAATGTCTTTTGCATCAACGTTTTTAAACATTCTTTTTTATTTTTTATATTATTTTTTAATTAATAATTAATGTATTAACTCAGTTTTGTCTAAAAATCGATGTGAAGTTATTTTAAATCAATTTCTAGAAAAGACGCGGGCTTTTTTATTTTATTTTAATTGATACATTCACTTGGTTTTGCCTAAAAACTGACATGTTTGTTCTTTTACATGAATATTTCATAGAACTATATTCTAACTTTTTATTTATCTATCAACAAACACTCTAACTTCATCGTCATTTTCTTCACAAAAACCTAGTCGATTTTCATCATGTTGTGAAAACGATGCCTAGGAAACAAAGTATAAACTTTTTCTCTATGATCAAGAAACAATCAAGGATAGAAAAGATGAAAAAACAAGAAGAACATAAGGATTGATTAGTAAATGTTATTATTTACTTTCTCTTAGAGCAAGATTATAAGTACACAAGAAAAACAAATAACCCTCTCACCCTAAATTAGGATTTGCAGTCTGCAATGATGAGAGACTTGTATGTTATTTATAATAAATCTAACATACTAAACTAATACGCTTTTTCACAAATATCCATTACAAGCTAACTTAGGGTACAAGATAACTTAAACAATTGGACTTAACAAATAGGCACAATTCAAAATACTAACAACCCTAGCATTTCGACACCCACATACTAGAACACATTTCAATGTTTGCCAATGAGCCTTTCCAAGATTCTTCATGTACCTGCTTACAAGACTTACTACATATGCTATGTCGGGTCTAGTACAGACCATAGCATATGTCAAAGAACCTACTATGTTAGCATATGGGATGCTATTCATATAAGCTCTTTCGACATCAATACTAGGACACTGATTTATACTTAACTTGAATTGAGGATTTGTTGGAATCACCACAGGCTTTGAATTTGACATACCAAACTTGTTGAGAATCTCCCGTAGGTATGCCTCTTGAGATAAGCATAATTTCGACTGATTTCTATCTCTTCGGATTTCAATCCCAAGAATCCTGGATGCAACTCCCAGATCCTTCATGTCGAACTCCTTATTGAATTCAGCCTTCACCCTTATTACATCTTCGACATTGTTGCTTGCTATAAGAATATCATCAATATAAAAACAACAAAATAATAAATGAATTACCAGGACGAAATTTGAAGTAAACATAATGGTCGAACTGGCTTCTAACAAAACTTAGGTGTGCCATGAACTTGTCAAATCTCTTATTCCACTATCGAGGAGATTATTTCAGCCCATATAAAGATATATTCAACTTGCACATATAATCTTCCTTTCCCTTTTCGACATACCCTTCGGGTTGCCTCATCAGGATTATTTCATCTAGATCACCATACAAGAGCACAGTCTTCACATCCATTTGTTCCAGTTCAAGGTCGAACTGTGCCATCATGGCAAGCAACATTCAAATGGACATGTGCTTCACAACAGAAGAAAACATATCATTGAAGTCTACACCTTCTTTCTGAGTGAAACCCCTTGCAACCAACCTTACCTTGTATCTTCTTGACGCCTGGCTGTTGACTAACCTGGCTCCAACAAGTTTCTTAATTAATTCCCAAGTGTTGTTATCATGAAGATATTTCATCTCATCATCCATGGCCTTCAGTCATTCAGTCTTATTTCGACTTCTCATAACTTCCTTATGGTCTCTAGGTTATTCATCTAGAACCTCACTTGCAAAGATTAAGGCATAAGATATAAGATCTTCATACCCGAGTCTTTGAGGTGGCTTAATGACTCTTCTCATTATATCTCTTGCCAATAGGTGGTCATCGACAGTTTCCTCAACTTCCTTATAATCTTTTGCTTCTTCTTTGACATCATCTAGGATATGCAATTCAGAATCAACATGCTCCACCTCAACAAGAATCTCTCCTTGTTCCAGCTCTTCGTCAGATATTTCGGCACTTCGATCAACATCATCAGTTTTCTTGAAATCCATTTTAGCTTCATTGAA